ACCTGTCCATGATGAGCAAGCATGAAGCGATAGTGGAGAGGAAAAACTCCCCTTTGGGAATAAACCTCTGGCAGAACCAGACTCAACATGGTGGTCTTCTGCCGGACCAGTTGACAAGAGACAGGGAACGCAGTAAGAGTCTAGTAGGAATGACACTATGATGAAGCTTTAGCTATTATAGTGGAGAAGAGGCTGGGATGGGTTGAAATGCAGTCATCTGAATGAAGTCACAGCGCATCCACCACCTGCGCACAGGAGCAGACAAGAGTGGATCAGAGGGTTTTTAGGATGAACTTTGGATGCCGATTGGCTTTCCTAGAGGAGTGGTTCAAAGCTGATTGGCTGTGTCACAGGTGGATGTAGGAGACAATGAGTTTCTTCAGTTGAACTTCCGCCCAGGCTTCATTTTTATTATGAGAGGCAAAATGAGAAAAAAAAAAAATCAAATTAAATACTTTGTAGATTTTAATAAAGAATTCATTTGCAGATAATGGTGGAAAATTCAAACTTGTTCAATAACAATTTTCAGCTCACTACTTGTGAGAACAACATTTGTTGGAAATAACAAAACTTTTGCTATCAGTCTTTACCAGGTTTAACACTTAGTAGCTGGTTTTTTGGCCCATTCCTACATGCAGATCTTCTTCAGGCATGATTAATGATTAGTTCTGGGATTTTTTTCTTATCTCTCTAATTTTGATTTTGACCCCTAAGGCTGATTTTCATTTGGGGCTTCAGATCAAGGGAGTTATCAGTGATCTTCCATTTTCTTACAATTCCTCCCACAGTTAATTTATTTGCACCAGCCTGCTCGCCCACCGCAGATTTAGTCTTATATATACAGAGTTCAAACAGGTGCTGAGTAACGAGTAGAGGACAGAGGAGCCTTAATGAAGTTACTGGTCTGTGAATAACAAACATCCTATTTGTTTGCAGGTGACTAAGTATTTATTTTCCATCATAATTAATATTAGAAAAAAAAACCTTTAAAATCCCACAAACGAATTTCCTGGATTTTGTTTTTATTGTTTCATTTTGACTCTCTCAGTTAGGTTTATTTGTGATATAAATGACAGACCTCTCTCCTCTTTCTAAATAGGAACTCTTGCACAACCAGTGGCTGACTCAATGGTACTGGATCAATGCAGTTACTTTTGGCAAGTGTTTGTAAGAAAAAATCAACAGACAATTTTCTCTGACTTGCAGAATATTGGGACTGACCTAACTTAACTTTTTACCTCCATCTGACATAAACTGACTTAGAGGCAAGCTAGAAACTGACATGTGTCTGCTGTCTTGTTAACTATCTGTTTGATGGCTTTGTCCTTGTATAACATAGTTTACAGTAGTAGTTCAACAAAATTGAAAAAAACATTATATGATAGATTGGAAGATGTATAATTAATTACATTTTCTATCATTTTCTCTGAAACAGTTGTGTTTGTTAAATGCTCATTTAATTTACCATTCTAACAGCCCTTCGCTAAAAATAGAACTTACGTTTTCTATTTCTTCTCTTTCTTCCCCAACTAGTTTGAATTTCTAGTCTAATCAAATATTGAAAACCTTTATTAATAATACAAAAAGTTAGTCGCACTGACAAATTCCCATGTCTGTTAAATGATTTTAACATTTGAAAGTAATTCAAATATAAACAGAAACAAAACTTTTTTTTTGTATTTGAGAGAAAATGTAGTTTTTGATTATTCTCATGTAGAACAATGGCCAAAAATTAATCAGACCGTATTAGCAAAAACAAACAAACAAAAAAAAATCCTTGGACATTGGTGCAAAAATAGTTAAGGACTTTACTGGCTGAACTAGCAGTTGAATTGTCCTTGTTCATCTGAATGGAGTTTTGGTTTCTGTGTTAAAGAACTAGGGTGCAATATTGGCGAGACAAACAGTCATAGCCAGAGCAACAGGATAAACACTTAACACTGCGAAACCATTCAGAGAACTCAGTGAATTGCACTTTTGTCCCAGCCTGAGAATACAATGAGTATAAGTAGGTTACATGGAAATCTGGCCATAAGCAAGAACTGAAATATTCTACAGGTTTAGAGAAACTGAGTAGTTTTCTGTAACTTAATAGCACTGCTGTTGTCTTGTTGAGAAACCCAAAAACAGACATGGAAAAAAAAAAAAAAAACTGGCCTCAAAGCCATCCCACTGGCAATGTTGAAGTAAAACCTGTGAGCTGAGCTTAGATTTGACATGCCTGCCTAATTAGTGCGATTATCACACAGCTGCACAGGTTGAGAGGATTTGAAGTGGTTATATCAAAAGAATGATTTCCTTGGAGAATGTCTCATACTGACAGCGTGTGCACTCCCATATCCATTTCAGTTTGGGATGTGCAGATGTTGTCTGCTTTCATGCAGAGATGATTTGAAAAGGGGAACACAGGAAAAACTGTTTTTTTTTTCTATGACATGTTTAAATCCATAAAGGGATTAGATGCATTTCAGCAGATGTTTTCAGCAAAATCCCATACTTTTCCACATTTAAATGTCCTGAGATCATAGTTATTTATGGATGGATGGATGGATGGATGGATGGATGGATGGATGGATGGATGGATGGATGGATGGATGGATGGATGGATGGAATAGGATAGGGAATAAGCCTTAAAAACATTTTTAGAGACTTTTCCAGATTTGAAAAATAAATTAAATTCCACACTTTTCTAGAACCTTCCAGACTGCGGTGGAACTCTGTATGTAAGCCATTATTCTCTAAGCTGGCAAAGGAGTGTGTGAGCTTAAATCCAGAATAAATGCCTTTGGCCATTGGTTTAAAGATAATTAGCAGAAGTATTTGGTGATATAATTCCTAAGCTAGAGATTTGGCTTTCAATTCTATTGAAGACAAGTCAAGACAGGCTAATACGAATGAATTTTAATATTTACATAGATATAAATTACTTATGATGATGATGAACTTATTGAATGATGCTGCAGCTTGGAATTGAATGAGTTTTAAAAAAAAGGTTTATACTCATACCCATTCATTTGAATGGTTGATTGTTCTTAATTTACTATTGTTCTATTTTTGCTTGTTTTCTTTTCTTGTCTCAAATATAAATACTACGTTCAATAAGTATGACCATTAATCTCTTTGGTTCACATCAGTCATTGAATAAGTATGACTTAAAATATGTATGTGTCAGAATTTCTTTTATCTTAATGGAGAAAAAAATGAATTTATTGTATTTGGTCATTACAATTGCAGGCCAAATATCCAAAATGAAGCAGTCTTTGTGAAACTACAGTGTGTGCATGTGTGTGTGTGTGTGTGTGTGTGTGTGTGTGTGCATGTGTATGTGTGGGTGAAAGGGTGCTCTTATTTTTAATACAGTGTGGGGTTATGTCTGCTCCTTGTGGGGCCCAATGCCTGAATTTCTGTTTTTGGGTCAGGGGTCATGTTTATGACTAAGGTGTGAATTGAGTTTAGGTTGGGGTTAGAGTTAAATATGAACCCGTATTGGTTAAGGTTAGGGGTAAGGGTCACGGTTTGGCTGTAGAAATGAATGGATGTCAATGTAAAGGCCCCTCAAAGATAGTGAGACAAGTTTGTGTGCGTGTGTGTTTAATTTCTTTTAGATCTCTCGATTCTTATAAACAAACATCAATATGCCAACTAATCAATATGTATGTGTCAATATACAGTAACTACAAAATAACCCAAACCGCCAAGAGTATGACATCATTAGTAATACCTGATTGATCATATCTCATGTTCACATGCAATGATGACCACTGTGCTAAACCCAATGTACTAAAACAAACAAGTCGCTTCTAGTGGTTCTGAAATGAAGTATATTATATTTACATTTGAGCCTCAAGTTACAAAGTCATGAAAAAAAAACAAGACCTTTTGAATATGTTCCTGTTAACAATTCATTTTGGCTTTGAACTAAATAAAAGCTGTTTGTAATTCTTCCATATTAGCAAAGTTGAACAATTTAGATTTTATAAATAGTGCATTGCTCCAAATTACCAACCTGTTTATTTTTTTAAACTTGTTCTTACACTGTTATTAATGATTATTTTGTGTTTATGTAGTTATCATCCCATGACTGCATTGTAGCTCAAACGAGGTAAAACTAGGGAAACTGTAAAGAAGACAGCTCTTTCCTACAGGACATGTTTTGTTTTATTCTTTATAAATGGATATATTAAATGAAAATCACTTTTTTTTTAATGGGCAGTCTTTTCTTTTTCAATTGACGCTCTGCCGACTTGTGGAGCCTCGAGGACCCTCACATTGGATTTATATTCGTACAGATTTGGTAAAACCCTAATTACTTCCTGTCTGCTAAATAACATTTGAAACAGTTTAACAAAGTACCAGGAATACCTCTTTACTTTTTCAGTCTAAAGAACAGGGTATAATGATTAGCATTTATAAAGTTAGTAATAAAACAAAGACAAAGAATTTTGATGTATTTCTTTGAAAAAGGAAATCCTTCAAAACCTTTACTGATGCAGTGTCAGAACTGTTGTGTGATGGATAGGCTTACATCACTTAGATGAAATTGAGTTTTTCTTTATATAAAAAGGAATAAAATTGTTAATAGATGGCCTTTTGGCAATCCTTGCCAAAATATATAAGTTATAGAGTATATTTAACCCTGTAAATACTAATTACTCAGGCATTCATGTTAGTTTTTTTCTATCGCAGGATTAAGCATTTTCAGGGCCTTGAGCAAAAATTACAACAGTATGGTTTGTTATCAAATTCCACAAGTTAATCCTGAATATATTCAAAATCCCAAAGCTACTGGATGCATGTTTTGCCCATCCATTGGACAATAGCATATTCTTGGTGAAAGAATTTCTGGTTTTCCTTCACTCAATCATCACATTGTCCTCTACTACAATACCTCATATTGCTCTCAGACTTAGGATGGCTCAGAAAAATGGCCGCAGCTGCTTTAGCCCGGCATGTTTAACTCCTCCTTCCGCTTGTATCCTTGGGTGGGCTGGGGTCTTCAGGAGTCCCTCAGACCTGCATGGCCTCTTCAAGCCCCGTCAGAGACTCTCTCCCTCCACGACTGAGACGCCGAAGCTCCAGATCATAGAGAGGCTGACATACCTTCACCTGGCTTGAGAGGCCGAGGAGCACAGTGAATGGTGCAGAGGGGACCCTCTGCTTCCCAACGCCCGTCACACCTTCGCCGTCCCTGTCACACCTGCAGCCAGTGGGAGCCAGATGTCCATGGAAGTCTTGAAGGTAGGTTTATTTGTGAAAATAGTTCTTTCACCTTTTGGTTGTTGATTCCACTTCTCACAAAATTGTTTCTAATTTTTTAAGTTTCCAATTTGCATTGATTAAGGTCTTGTTTTCCTAAATGTCTGTGTTAGTCCGTGAGACTCAATTAGAGTTCTTTAAGAGCCTACGTTAAATCCATAGGGGGATTATCTCCTGGGAGAATTCCTATTTCCAGACATTTGGTATGCAAACCAGCTAATCCTATTTTCTCCACTACACTGACACATTTTTCATTGATTTGAGTGCTGTTACAGCCCCTTGCAGGTTCAACTTTTGAAAAACAATCATCATCACAAATCTTTAAAAAAGTGAATTAATGTTCCTTAATTTATGGCCAGATGGTTAATACCACTGCCTCTCGCTAAAAACCTGGCGCATTTAAGGTTTATAATTCCCACAGCCAGTGTTTTAGGTTTGTGGAAGTGAATGGTACGTGGAAATTCCAGCTGTCAGACACTTTCTAGATAGCTTATTACTCTTGGTTTTCTTTGATTTTCTGCACAAATGGGTCAAAGACGAATATCATTGTGATTTCAACTAATTATCACAGATATGCATGTGATGGCATTAGGCTGGATACAATCTGCTCATGGGTGACAGAGACATTTAAGTTGTTGACTTGTCTGGAGAACAGGTTGTTTATTCAGCTCTGCGGGGTTTTTTTTATAGCCGTGCAACACAATCTCCAGCTCTATACCCCTTCAACTTTGGCATGAAAATCAAATCCTGCTACAGTGGTTTTTTTGGCACGTGGCTTTCCATTTTCACATGGCTTTCTGACTGTGTGTGTAGTAGAAAGTTGCTTTAAGCAAATTATATCTTGGAAATGTTATTTCTTATTGCTAAAAACACTAACTTCAATTATCTAAGGGGATAGTAAAGCATAGCATAGATAACTATATTAAAACAAGTATGAGGTAAACACATACAAATCCCTTTCTGTTTATATACGTGTGTGGAAGGTCGAGGTAATCCTCTACTCAGTTTTTTTTGCATAATCTAAGCAGTCAGTTATTGTGCCTTTAAGTCTAACTTAAAGTTACCATTTTTTGTGGTATTTTGAAATGTTGGCCAGTTTTAAGTTCAAGACGTGACTATTGCAACAATTGTGTGGGGCGATACAGTCTCTCCACATTTGAAAGCTATCCAATCAGATTCGGACTCTCCCGCAATCACAAAAGTGCACTGTTTCTCTTGCTTCGCGAAAGAATCCTTTACAGTAGATTGGCAAAATATTTTTCTAGGTCTAAAAAAATTAACTTCATGTTTTACTGGTTACCTACAATGTTTTACTGATTCTCCAAGTAGAAACAAGCATAATCAAGAATGTCAACTGATAACTGAACCAGGTAACAAGCAGGTATGGACAAAACGCTTTTTTTTACATAATGCTTTCATTAATGACCCCTGCGGTCATGGTAAATGACTGCTCAACTAGCAGATATTTAGGAGAAATTTACTTAACTTTGCTCCACAACTATTATGTTAACTGAAAATGGTGTAACACATGGACAAAGCGAACAAATAACCCTGGGAGAATGCTGCGCTTTGGTAAATAGTTTTTTTTTCTGGATAGATCTAACATTTAGGAGAAAGAAATTAACAAGATAAGAAAGGTTTTATATCAGTTTGTTCAGTTGCATTTGAGGAATCTTATCTTTTTTTGGTGCTGGATGAGTAGATGCGTGGTAAATTGGAACAGCATTGATACTTTGTATTCAGCTGAGATGGTGGTGGGGATGTAAAGGGGTCAGCGGTGAACTAGATATAAAGTCAGGATGTGTTTAGATTTTGCTTTCTGTTTCCACTGTGTTTGTAGTAGTTTATGAATATTTAAATTCTTGTGGATACACATATGTCTAAGTTTTACAATGGGGCTGTACAGTAATTCGAGAAGAGAGATTAAATGTGGTTATATCCTTGCCCTTGACCCAGGGCTAGTGGTTCAGCTAAAGTACCTTTAGAGGTGATTGAATTTTAGATGTGTGTCAAACAGAGGTGGAAGTGGATATTTCTCAACATGACAGATTAACTGGAGTTTAAACGAGAACCTCATAAAGTCACTAAGGTGCATGGACAGAGAGCAAAGCCCCATGCTGCTGGTAAACATCCCCTTAGAATCTCTTCCCTTAACCAATCTACACCATCCCCCCCATCTCAAATGCTTCCTACACCACTGGTTCATTTGACTTTTGTCCTCACATGACTTCATCTTACATTCCTTTGTTATTTCCCCTTATTGCATTCTTTTACTAATAGCGTTTTACTTTTACATGCTATATCGGGTGCCCTGTCAAAGTTCAATGTAATATGACACCATCATGGATTACACAATAAGGCCACTATGACTTCAGCTGAGCACTTTGACCTGGTGCACAGTTGAATGTTTGTCAAACAAGGTTAGAGATTTGTTTTAAAAGTAGGACCTAAAACCTTCCACTCAACTATAGTCATAACTCTATTATAGAAACTGTAACGATATGACCCAAATTGTGAAATGCTCGATTATATAAAGATGAATCACAAGTAACACTAAATGTGTGCCCCAACCCCCCATCATCTTTCATAAAACTTTCTGTATTTCTTGTTGGATGTTTTCATCCAATCTATAGAATTTAGTGCACTAGCTGATATTTTCTCTACTTCATAAGAGAACAGTAAGCATGGCAAAATATGGCCTTTTTTTAACCTGCTGTATTTTAGTAGGTCCCTAACAATTTTTTCCCTTCTACTGTAGGAGGTAGAATAGGTTAGATATTTCTCTGCCCTCTGAATCTGTTGGCAGTAAATTTGCCGTCTCTGAGAAAAGCTGTCTTTTTTGTTGGCCACAGTGCAGGACCATTGAAATTAATGCCGTGATCCATCCCTGACCCACTAGGCTCAGACACTCCGATCGGGCAAAAAGCCCCTCCACCTGCACTGTCCGTTATCGTTAAGGATAGATCTCTTCATTTGTCTTCTCCTCAAACACACGCTTCCCCCTCCCCCCGAAACTGCAACGGGAGAACTGCTGCGCTGTCCTCCTTTTTCTCTGTCCACCAAGCTCCCCGCCTCAGCTGGCTACCCTGCTCTGCTCTGTCTTTCACCCTACACCTGAACCTCTGCCATCTTTCTACTCTTTTGGTGCTAAGCTCATGCATTTCTGTAAAAGAAAAGGTGTTTTCCCTATTACACTAGCTAGCTGATGCTATACTTTAAAATCACATTGATAAACACATTACTTCTTACCTGGCTCTGAATGGGCATCATTCTTCTGCAATTCCATTCCTGGACCTGTTCTTGACTCTTCCTCAGTTTATTTTTAATATTTACCCATAAAAGCACTCAATGGTAAATGGCATGTACCTATATAGAGCCTTTATTCAAGTCAGGAGACTTGACCAAAGCGCTTTACACTACATTCATTCACACACACACTCACACACTGATGGTGGCAAGCTACATTGTAACCACAGCTGCCCTGGGGCTCACTGACAGAAGTGGGGCTGCCGTACACTGGCGCCACTCTGACCACCATCAGAAGACAATGCAGGTGAAGTGTCTTGCCCAAGGACACAACGACACTGAAAGTCAGAGTCAGGGCTTGAACCATCAATCCTTCGATTTTAGGGCAAACTCCTACATCCAACGCCACTGTCGTCCCTCAAGCCTTTGGTGTCATCTTCCCCCTTCTCTTTTATTTTATGTGTGCTGGACTTCTGAATACCTGATATTCTCAGTTTGCAGCGAAGCAAACTTATATACTTATATATATATATATATATATATATATATATATATATATATATATATATATATATATATATATATATATATATATATATATATATATATATATATATATATATAGTTAATTTTTATCACAAATATTTTGTGAAAAATTACTTCTGCCTGTATTTTTGATGATCAGAGTGTCAATTTTGGGCCCCCTTGGTCCTGGGCCTTGGAGAATTTTACCCCTTTGTCTCCCCCTGTCGGCAGGTGTGATATACATATATGAGCAACCAGTTGAATGAATTACATCTCTAAGAAGTGAACTTAAATAAACTTTACCTCTAACTTTTCCTACATTTTATATGTGATACCAGATACTGAATATAGCTCGGTTTAGAAACCTCAGACTTTTGCAGCTGAAATTTTCTAATTTTAAAGTTGTAAGGAAGCGGCTGTTCCAACGGTTGCAGTTCTGAATTCTCCCGAGTGGTGCCCGACTTTACACAAGTGAATAAAGTGAAAGTGATTGGTCGTTTATCAAGGGGATTGTTGTGGTGGAAGGTTCGCAAGCACGTTTGGTTGTGGCCAGTTTCTCTGAAGCATCTTGATAACTAGTCAGCAAATTAGTGCCAGTAGGTCCCCAATGGGAAATTACATTGGGACCAAGTAGCACTAAGCAATGCCACTGTCAAGGAACGCAGTGGACAGCGGAAACATGCAAGAGGAGGAGAGTTTTGTGACGGAGGTCATGGATGAGTCTCCTCTGTCAAAAATTTTTTTTATTTAGAGGAGGAAAGCGGGGACGAAGTTGTTGTGGAAGAGGACACCAGGGCAGCAGAAGCTTTTTTTGGTGTAGAAGCCTTACAGCCGTACATGTCTGAGCCCTTGCCTCGCAACGCTACCAGTTCTGTTAGACAACACAGACGTCCATCCCCGTGAACACTGGGAGGTAACTCAATGGTAAAGTAAATTATTCTTATTTCAACCATTGCTTATCTTAGTTGAGACATATGAATCAAGATGCTATGAATAAAAAAATGTGATTGACAGATGACCGTTGATGATTGGCCAAATTTATGCGTACAAGCTGAAGTATAACTAACTGGCCTGCATAAAATAACCGAAAAAACAACACAGATTTTAAGAAAGGAATTTTTGTTAAATAGAAATTTTCTAACTTTTAGGACAATATTGCTGATAAAGAGTACATTTATATACATGTTTAAGCTTGTTGAATTTAGATAAAC